GGCGCGCCTCGCCGCTCGTGTACGCCTCCTTGTTCTCCGACACTGCAGTCGACGACTACCGTTTATTTCTTGAACTCGCCCGTTTTGTAAAACCAATGTTGCATCATTTATTATTGTGTTTACCCCAGGCCTGTATGTGATCGCAGTCCCCGTCCGCGTCTATCCAGGGCGCGCCGATGTGCAGCTGCGGCCGGTGCGGGGGCTCCTCCTCGGACTCCTCGCCGAGGAACTCTAGGTCTTCTATACTGTCACTGAAATATGTTTGCACTGTGCTAGGATTTGCTCAAAAAAAGAACATGCATGTTTCAATTATTATGAAAATAATAAAAAAAAAGTAATTTTCATGAGGGATTAAAAGAACAAAAGCACAAAATTAAAGAAAGCTAAAACTTACCTTGGGTCATAGCTTAAGTAAACGGGAAATATGTATTTAGTAAACTGTCGTATTCTGGATCTCCGTAGAGCTGCAAGATCTTCGGCTTGGTCGTTGTAAGTACTGATTTTATTCTGAAGTTCCATGCTTTGATTTTGAGCATGTTTCCCGAGACTGGCCACTCTCTTTTGATACCTTGGCAGTTTGAGTTGCAGCTCAGTGTTATGATTCTTCAACTCTGACAACTCTTTTCTCTTTGCCTCAATAATACTTCTCCGTTGCTCTATGGCCATCCGCAAGAGATCCAATTTGTCCCGTGACAATTTGTTATCTGTGAGCAGAATGTCTTTCCTGAGCCTTGGTGCTAATAATTTTTCACATCTGTCCAGTATGTGTTGTCTATTAAGTTTTAATCTCATCAGTTTAGCTTGTTTTTCAGCAAATCTGGAAATTACAGTCATTTTGTTTACTAACTTGTAAGTATTCACAGTGAGTTTACTTACTATATTTTAAATTCATTAATTCAAATTACAGAATTTTTCTAAACCAGGTTTTGAACAACATTTTGGTGTACAAAACGAGATTTTCGCAACTAGGTGATTAGTTAATGACCATTGGTAGTCTTTGCCAGAATGTAGGTTAAGGACTAATTTTCAACATACAACACATATCGCCATAAGTACCTTGTTTTCTCATTAGTACCAGTTAAATATATAACTCACCTGTCCGAGTAGGGCATAGAAGAATGTACAAAGTTTCCATTTTTAACACATTCGGCGCAATAAAAGTTTTTCTTGACTGTATAACACAGTAGACATTTCTTGTAATGTCCTTCACTCTCCGTAGATGAAACTTTAAAATCCCGCGGCGCTTCGCTCTCTGCAAGATAACTGAGGGCCATTTTTATTTATTGTTTTTTCATTTCTTTCCTATATTTTGTAAACTTGTCAACAATGTCAGCTGGTAAATGACAAGAGAATGTGCTGACGGCAAGATGACAATCATGACAACATACCTTCAGTGTTGCCGTATTTTAGTATAAATGTTTATAAGATTTTTTTTTCATTGGCTTTACTTAGTTTAACTCTAATTTAATTAAAATTAGTTCATAAATATAACTAAAAATTGACCATTTTATAATGTTGTTCTTGTATTTATAAGTATGAAACGCATGAACTTATGTTGAGCTCTATGAGTTTCGACTGCCGTTACACTTGTATCAATGCATAGGTACGGCGTTACAGTCTCTGTTTTTTTTCAGACTGTGAGAGATGCAGATATGTGATAACAAAAGTAACTTGCAGTCAAAATTACACGTTAAGCAGGATATTACAAATAATATTGGCCTCTGAGAAAATTTTACAGCGTCAATTTTAACTGGCTTTGGCTCTTAATTAAAAATGTCGTCTCGATTTAACAAACAAACGAGACATAACAATACCTTATACTTAAGATTGCAAGAAACGATTCCTGCCGCCGAATTTAGTCATCGGATGACACGACAGACCGCCAAGTACCATCCTCACCATCACGATGGCTGGCATTTCACAACCGTGCGGTTTTCGCGGAACTTTCTGCCCCGCACAGCCGCGTTGTGGAACGGTGTGTCCTCGGCGGTATTTCCAAACCAATACGACTTAGGGTCCTTCAAGAAGCGAGCCTATCATTTCCTCAAAGGCCAGAAACGCATCTGTAGTTCCTCTGGTGTTGCGGATGTCCATGGGCGTCGCTGACCACCTCGGTGTTCTCGCCGCCCGTTTGCCCAACTTTATTATAAAAAAAAACGCAAATATTTAGCTGTACACAAGATGAGCAAATTATACATTAGTCTTTTAGGAGGTGCTAAGAACAATATTCTACACGTAAATACAAACAAGCTCATTGGCACTAGCTGCTATTGACTGTAATTTGAATGAGATCTGCAACTAACGGAAGAAACTTCGCCTTCTTAAGAAAGTAGTAAAGTAAATAGTTTGTTTATCTTGCGTCAAAGTATGGTCCGGTGCTCGGTGTAATGAGAGACTTGATTTACGACTTTGCCAGTTTGTTGGAGGGCAGCAGCAGCTGTTGCGAAGTTAATTATCAGAGAATTTGATTAACCGCGCGTCCGAGCTGCGAGTTCCGAACACTAGTTTGAGTGATCTTCGGCCGCCGAGGGTCCATCACTCTGAATATTAATGAACCTCCAAGGTTTTCCTTATTCAATATCTATTTTGCTTTGGTGCTTTACAGTAGTAATCGCTGTTATGTTTCACGATGTAATCCTATTCACGTCTTAATAGTGATGACGAAATGAAAGTTTGTTTCAGGTATTTGCACTTGTCACATATTAATTATATAGTTGTGAACGATATGCAAGAAACTATTGGTAAATGTAAAATATTCGTTTAAAATTATATTTTAATATTCCAATATGAATTCAAATGAAATCGGGCGAAAAAATATTCAGTTGAATAATTAGTTTTGTCGCAGCGCTGCGGTGCATTGAAATGAATGGAAACGCCATTGATTATTCATGAACGGAATGGTTTTTCGGGAGCGAGATTGGAATGGCCGAGCGCGTTTATTGAACGCTCTTCTAAACTTTGATTGAATTTATCCAGCTGTTCACGGCATCTCACCCATCGATAAAGGTGTAGAAAAAACGAAAGTGGCAGAATGTCGAGTTATTTTTAGTTTAACACTGAAATTTTCGATTTCTTTTAAATGCAAATGTAAAATCAGAATGTAACTCAAACATACACGAGGTAAAATCCCTAGTTTAAATACAAAGTTAGTCAAACTAGAGTGGCAACTCAAACTGCAGTGCGAGGAAAGTTGTCGTCTGCACAAATACGACAGGTGACAAGCAAACAAACCCTACACTTATCATGTTTGTGTCTGTTGAATTAACAAAGATTCCATGAAGTTACATATATTTTACGAAGTGAAATAAATTCGAGCAATTCGAGATTTTTTATTATTCTAATATGTATTAATGCAACTTTTCGTCTGCGCTTGTTTCCTTTCAAAAAAATTATTTCATTGTGCATTGAATTCAGTAGTTTTCGGACTATGACGGTAAACTAATGTCATTTATATTATGAACTGAGGACATCTGGAGGCCGGCGTGCGGGGGTGAGGTGTGCGGCGGCGGGAGGTGAGGACCGCTGGGAAATTCCGATAATTTCATATCGCACACAAATTTGTGGACATGTTTTATTTATACGTATTTACTGCGATCAGCGGTAATATATCATTTAGATTAAACGAATATTTTGCATTAAAATATATTTAACGCACTGTTTTATAACTCGTGCATGAAACATTTTGAAAATACATGCACCATAAGTTTATCTTTCGGAAATAGATTGGATGAATGTATTTATAACCAGCTTTCGCGACTCCATCAGCGTGGTATTAAATAAAAATTGAGTAGCCTATGTATTCTTCCAGACTATCCTCCACGTCTATGCCAAACAACGACATCCGTTTAGCTTTTTAGGCTACAAACTCTATTAAACATCCAACCATCCGTCTAAATACAACATTAATAACATTAGTAAGCTGTGTGTGAACCTTTTTTTATAAATTTTTGTGCAGTTGGCCAACCACTAGTATGGTTTGCTTAGCTATTTGTAACAAATCAACAAAACCTAAAACACATACAAGCGGTACGGATTTTGTTTGTATTGAATGTGTGGGCGCTCACGTCAACAGCGGCCGTAACTCTTTTAATCGAATATTCATACGCGAGCCAATATTCGATACTCGCCGCATATAAAATTATTTTATACGTAAAATCGTTTTTGAATGCATACCACTGTAGCGTAATACGATTACCTTTACGTTAAATTCGTTTATTTGCAGGACATGTTTGGAATCCCTACGAAGGTAATTATTTTGGTTTATCTTGTTTTATGGACAGCAATCAAAGGTTTAACAAGTCTATAACATTGCCAGGGGTATCTGCCTATCCTTCCATTAGTTACCGAAGTAAGTCGTATTTCTTTTTCTCATATTAAACCTATCTGATTTTACAATTAACTACTGCGAAGAGTATATTCTGCGAAATCGTACAAGTAACTTAAACCCAGTCAAAAGAGAACTGATTATAAATAGAAGCGAATTAAGACAACCAGACTAATTGAATGATTGACTTTGCTTTAAAACAGATTATCCGTCAAAGGTAAAAAGCAGATGAAAAGGCAGCCGAGTAATTGAATTTGGATAAACCTTCCAACAGTGACGGCGGAGCGCCCGCGTGGCTTTTGATTAGATTTTGAATCAGATTGTCTAAAGATTTTAAATTAAACCGTCTGAGCTAGCCACACAATAGATCACATTTTGAATCCATTGGTTAAATAATATTGTAAAAGATCATCAAAGAATTATCAAAGAAATAGTATCTAAAACCCCCGTATTAAAGTATAACATAGACTTACCGCATACAATGTGATGTTATTACTTTTCTCGTGTTGTGTTTATATAATTTCCTTCGGGCTCGTTTACAGCGCTCGTATTGGTCGTGAGTACAAAACTTGTGCAGTTTGGAGGCGGCGAATGGCCGCTGTAGCGGGTGCGAGCTAAATTGTTGTGGCATTACAACAGGAAAGAGCTGTTAACTGCAATAGTGGTTATTACAAGCTGCTAGAGTTCCTGGCTACAACAGCATATAATACGAATCAAAATATAGTTAAATCAAGTAAAGATAAAATAAGTAAATTACGATTAATAAATAACGAACAATCGTTCATAAAATCGCACTAGCTGTTCCCGTGCCGCTTCATCCGCTTACTTAAAAACTTAATTTTATTTGTTTACATTAGTCAAATTCTCAATTGCGAATGTCACAATTACTGTTACGCCAATAACCTTTCTTCCTTAATGTTGGCAGCTTGTAGTTGATGGTCCCTTTCCTACATGAAGGATTTTTCCAATTTATTTACTTAAAGCGTGTCGTAAGTGTAATTGCTGACATCCTACGCCACTAAATAGTGTGTGTTTCAATAAAACAACTAGTTTATTGGTTAGAAAAGTGTCATATTAAGATAATGTTTACTTTGTACTTTATTTTTTTTGAAAGAAGGTCTGTATAGTCAGGCTTAAAATGATGACCCCCAAGTAATGCAGCCGCGACCGCCCGCAATATAAACAAGGGGTCGCCGTTATGTGGCTAAGCCGCGTTTTATACGCAATCCCGAGAGTGGTGCATTAGTGGAACTACTCAGGGCTCTATTTATAGTGGTCGTTTGCAAGGATTTGTTCAAACCTCTCTTTGACAGCTGCTTTATGAGTTAACTTTGTACGTTCGCTAGAACAGAGGCACTGTAGTATTCTATGCACATATAATCTTATTTTTTTCTTATACTTATTTAAGTAAAAGTATATTAAAATAGGGTGTAATGTAAAAGAAAGCCAATTCACAGTAACACGTGGTAATGTCTTTTTCACACATTTCGCTGAGTCCGCTCGCTGCCTGACAGGCCACGTCCGCTTTACGCTGCAACACTTGTATAGACATAATGTCATCTCTTGTGTTCTCCTCTGAGAAGACTGAGACTACAATATGTCTCTATACAAGTGTGTTTACAGTGGGAACGCGGAGACGACGCTCTCAACAGCACACGTAGCTCCCGTCCTGTCCCGAACTGCTAACGACTCTAACAAGGGTACATTTTTATTTTACACGCATTAAATTCTGTTAAAATTTACTAAGAAAGTATAACAGGAAAGTATGAAAATAACTGAGTGCTTTTCTTAGTTTTGTCAACTTGTCCAGTGTCTAAAGATAAAAATGAAAATGTAGGTAATTATTATGAATCTTAACAATGTTTTTATGTTATGTTAGAGACTTACGTTAATTTAATAGTGAAAATTCCATTTTTGTGTGCAATAATATGAAATCTAGCTCTTGTGCTCTTCCCTACATACCAATATTGAATCCTAAATCGAATTCTGTCGAACAGAATTTACCGGCGCCGTTGGAAGTGCGACTGCATAA